TACCATAACATCTGGCTTCTTAAATAGGTGCTGGGGTCATACCTGGGTCCTCATGCTTGTACAACAAGTACTTTAACAACTGAGCCATCTCCCCAGTGCAGTTGATTAATTGATTTTTATAAAGACAGGCCAAGTTTAAAATCTGAGCTTACCTAAACAAATCCCAGGGAGTAAAAATGACATTTGTAAAATGTTTAAAAGCAAAAATAGTTTATTTCTTTGATTAGTGACATCCTAGTTAAACTATGGGGATGTTTTTTGTTTTGTTTTGTTTTTATTTTTGAAGACAGTTTCTCTGTGTAGCCCTGGCTGTCCTAGAATTCCCTCTGTAGACAAGGCTGGCCTCAAACTCACAGAGATCCACCTGCCTCTGCCTCCTGAGTGTTGGGATTAAAGGCATGAACCACCACCACTTAACATTCTTAAATTGTTTTTATTATTAAGAATGATAAATGATTTCATATTTCTAATAAAAACAATAACTGTAATATATTTGGCAGAGCAAATGCTTTAAAACATAAAGCTTTAGCCGGGCATTGATGCCCCACACCTTTAGTCTCAGCACTGAGGAGGCAGAGGCAGATAGATCTCTGTGAGTTCAAGGACAGCCTGGTCTAGAATGAGTTCCAGGGCAGCCAAGGTTACACTGAGAAACCCTGTCTCAAAACACACACACACACACACAAAAGCTTTATCCCAACTCTATTCTAATTGAAAACAATTTTGCTGTCAATCACAGCTCTATAAAAGGTATTCCTGACCTGAAAGAGGCTTGCACCCCTCTTCTAGAAGACAGAGTCCCATTGTGGCTGCATCTCTGCAGTGCTTAGACTACTGAACCCTGCAATATTGGACCTTTCTCCCCACCTACCACCACTGGTTGGTGTATCAGGAATGGCCCCATGAGTGACTCACACTGTGTACTTGTATTCCCATTGGGGGTGGGCTAGAAAATGGAGGTTAGAGTTCAAGTTGAGCAACATCAGAGCCAGAGGCAAGTCCCTTGGCCACTACATTGTGTCTTTAAACCTTCATGTGTTTTCTTGTGGACCCTTTCGGAAGATTTCTGAAAGCCAGTAAGTACATCTGCTCATCCACCTGAATGTGAAGTTTTGTCTATCCTCAGGCCTCAGTCTTCTAAAGACCTTGGAAGCAGTGTGCTCTGCCAACTATGGGTACAGGCAAAGCGCCAAAAGATTTGGAAAAGATGATCAAGTATTAAAATTATGGGCTGCCAAGATGGCTCAGCAGGTAAAGGAAGTTGTTACCAAATCTGAATTTAATCCCAGGGACTCACATCAAGGGAGGACATGGAATCAAGTTGTCCTCCTGCCTCCACACGTGCACCATAGTGCTCATGGTCACACACACATCTCTGCATACACACACAAAGTAGGTAGGTGAAGAAATGATTTAAAAAAAAAAAAAAGAGTTAAAAATCTGTATACATTAAACCATCTTCCAACCTACAGATAATAAAAATAAATTATGTAGCAATGGGAAAAGACATTTTCAAAAAAAAATTTACTGATTAAAAAAAAAAAAAAAAAAACTGTGTCCTTAGAATAATTTCTAAGTAAAGGGAAGATTTCTATGTAAAGCAATAAGCAATAATTCCCTGTTCCAAGTCATATTACCTCCTGCATGGCTTACCTCTGCACGTTTTGTTCTGGTTGATTCCTCTTTGGACTTTAAAATCCGATTGTCCACTAGGCCCCATCTCTTTCCACCCCTTTCTTAACTTCCTTCACTATTGCTGAAACTCCCTTTCACTTCTTTCTGTTTTGTTTTGTTTTGTTTTGTTTTAGATTTCCTGTCTTAAGAATCCCACACTCCTCAGTCATACTCTCAGCTTTACTCAGATTTCAGTTCTCTTCTTTAGGCTCATCAGTGCCCCATTATCACTTCTGCTCTGTCTGACACCCCCCCCCCTTTTATGGCCTCCCTTTCTCCCTTCTCCAACATTCCAGGTAGTATTCCTTTACAGATTAGAAAAGTACCCCATCTGCTGCCTCCCGTGGGCATATGTCATTAGCTTCTAATCGGGAAGGGCATCGAGGGCCTCTTATTTGGAAGATTAGTGTTAAGTATTCAAAAGAAATTGCAGCTTTTAGTTATGCAATTTCTGTTTTATGTGTGGTATATTAATAACTAGGAAAAAATATAAATTTTATGCATTTTTACTTGTAAACATAGTTGGGTTTGTCATTAGTGACTTTGTTCTTTTGAGTGTGATTTATAAAAAATGTTTCCAAAATCCCATCTCTGGTCATTTGCTAGCTCTCAGTCTCTGAGACAATTTTTTTATTTGGTGTCTTTCAAAGAACAGATGTTTTTTATACATTGATAAATTTTGTTTATTGATTTCTTTTTAATAGTCCTTGTTTCTGACCTAAAGATTCTTAGACTTCTGGAAATCTTATAGTTGTGATTTTTACAGTTAGTTATGTTATTTCTTTCAAGGTGCCTTTTGCATCTGTGGGTGCATATTTTAGGGGCATCATTTCTATTCATCATTTATTCATATTTTAAGATTTCTCTTTCCATGTTAACCTGCCTTGCTGCCTTTGAGTTGACAGAGTGCATGGAACCCGCTTCTGGGTGGCTTCCTGTTTTGTTCTCCCATCTGCTCCTAAGCCACTGTTCTGATGCTAAATCAATGAGTAGTAAAGTCGATTTTTTTTTTCTTTTTTGGAGGGGGGGGGATACACTTTCAGAATTGTTTTCAATTTTCAGTTGAGTTTCCATATACTTTAATAAACAGCTTGCCAATGTGGATAAAAATATCTGCTGAGGGACTGGAGAGATGGCTCAGTGGTTAAGAGCTGTTCTTCCAGAGGTCCTGAGTTCAATTCCTAGCCACCATATGGTAGCTCACAACCATGTGTAATGAGATCTGGTGCCCTCTTCTGGCTTGCAGGTATACATGCAGGCAGAACACTATATACATAATAAATAAATCTTTTTTTACAAAATTGCTGATAACTTGGCTGGGTTTGTGGTGATTGATTGGGATGAACAGTCATTTTTAAGAACATTGAATCTTCCAATCCATGTCTTTCCTCCCCCTCCCCCCACTTATAACAGCCTTTGTCAATTTGGTACATTTCAGTGTTTGTACTGATAGCCCTTCCTTTCAAAAGTACCCTGAGTAGGCTGGTTTTTCCTTTAGTGGTGGAGTGTTTGGGAGTTCTATCCCAGTGCTAAAAGACAAGAAAATAAGGTGGAGTTGTTAAGTATTGATGACTTTTGTAGAGGGATAATGCTTGAGACTTGTTTGTTTGTTTGTTTGTTTGTTTGTTTGTTTGTTTGTTTGTTTGAGACGACTCTGCTTTGGGTAGCCTTGGCTGTCCTGGAATTCACACCATAGACCAGGCTGGCCTCAAACTCACTGAGATCCACCTGCCTCTGCCTCCCAAGTGCTGGAAGGCACTACTGCCTAGCAGCATGCGACTTTTTGATATCTTTGAATTCTCCTTAGTTGAGACAGTGTATCAGCAAACATGTTTGATGTTGAAAACCTGTAATAATGTTTAGAAAGCTTTCTTAGTTCCCTGCATTTCTCACAGGCTAGAGAATTCCCCCTCAAACCAAGGGCAAAGTGGATCATTGGAACTAGGGAGTAGGGGAATGATTGCCCCTTTGCTCATGGCTAACAGTAAATCCAGATTTTCTGTGATACCCAGTCTTTTAAAAAACATCTTAAACATTAGGGAAGGGGCAATTTAGCTAATGGCCTGCCCTTGGCCATCTTGGCATCTGTTTCCAGAAAGACAGTAGTCTAAAACTTTGCAGATTTCTATGTTCAGTAAACAGTGACATTTGCTTTTCATGGTGAATTGGAAGGTTGGGAGGTCTTGTTGAGAACTGTGATGGTAGTGAGGGCTTTGCAGAATCTATAACACAAGATTCCTTCTTTATATTTAACCTTAAAGACTGAACAGACATGAGACCATGTCACCAAATGGCTTCAGTTTCTGTAGTTGCTTCATCTTTTTAATTTTTTTATTCTTTTAATTAGCATACCAAGTATTAGATTTTGTTACGGCAGTTCCAAACATAGCTTGACTTTGTTGGCCATTCTCTCCTGCCTCTTCCCTCACATTCACTTACTCTCCACCCACCTTTCCACCATCAGCCTCCACTTTCATGTCACAGTTACAGTTCTGTATCCTAAAGCATCTGGGAATGGAGGTTGAGGGGTACTGTGCTTTCAGCTTTATAGGCTCACAATAATTATGAAAAATATATCCATATTCAGTTTAGTCTAATAACTACTTTTATGTTTTTTTTATATATTCTGACATTGAATGTGTGGAGTAGATATTCTGGGTTCATGTGTTTCAGGAGTCAGTTTTCTCTTCCACTATAGGTTACAGGGATGGAACTCAGGTTGTCAAGTGTGCACTTTACCCACCAAGCCATCTTGCTGGTCCCTTATATTAGCTGAAGGAAAGTTTTATTGTGAACCTAGTAGGCATAATTTAAATAAATCTCTAATTTTATGTCTAAGACTCTACACTGATTATTTAATAATACTCTCTTTTCTGAATACTTGTAATTGCTTCCCTTTGGTCTCCACTCACGAGAAATTAGAGTTAGCTTATTTTAGTTAGGCTGGCAAAATGGCTCAGTGGTTAAGAACTTGTTGCTCATGCAAAGGGACCTAAGTTCAGCTCAAAGCACTCACATGGTAACATGGCCATATGTAACTCCAGTTCTGAGGGATTTTATTCCTCCTTCTGAGGTTTGCAAGCACCAGGCATGCATGTGGTACACGTACATATATTCAGGCAAAACACATAAAATAAAGTTAATCAATTTGTTTTTTAAAGAGTAGGAGTTATCTGATGATCCAAACAATCTGATGATCCAAACAGTTTTTTCCTAAGTGGGAGACAGTAAGAAAGTGTACCAAGAGTTCTGTGTACTAACCTTGTAAGTCATCCTATAATGAAGGTTTGTTTACTCACTGTCCTCTCTACTATTGTTTGCTCTAGGGTAACCAGGAGCCAACAACAACTCCTGACGCAATGGTTCAGCCTTTTACTACCATCCCATTTCCACCACCTCCACAGAACGGAATTCCTACAGAATACGGAGTGCCACACACTCAGGACTATGCTGGCCAGACCAGTGAACATAACCTGACGCTCTACGGGGGTACACAAGCCCATGGAGAGCAGAGTAGCAATTCACCAAGTAATCAGAATGGATCTCTCACGGTATGTAAAGTAGCAGATGCAAGATAGAAGGATGTGTGAAATCTGCACCTTCCTCCAGAGACAGAAAGCTTTGAGTTAGTCTATGCATGCACTGGTGGTTGTTCTGGGACTGCCATCCTGCACCCTCCTTCGTCCCAGTTCCCCACACTCTGCTCTCAGGTGCAGGGTCTCACAGCAGCAGTCTCACATTGCCTCCTCCCTGTCCCCTAGAGCACTGGGCTGATTGGCTTGTGCCTCCCTTCTGGTTTTCCTATTCTGCAATGGATGTTCTGATGGCTCCTCCTCCTCTTGTTCAAATCTCAACTGTTTCAGTGTTTGTGGGTTTGGGTTTTGACACTCCTTCTTCCTTATTTTGTGTGCTTCCTCTGCATTCTTCCACTCAAGTCTTACACTTAAGTCTGACTTATATTCTTATACCCTGACAACTTAAGTCACTCAGTATATAAGCAAAAGTTAAGCATCACTGGTTCCTTATCCTTCATTTCTACCCTTAATCTTTATGGGGTTTGACAACCACAGTTCTACAGTAATGTACATCTCAGCCCTTTTCTCATGTCCTCTCCCAGGCAAAGAGCTTAGCTCTTCTCCAGCTGTTGGGGGTTGATTCAGGTGGGTTGAGCTTGAATCACAACCTGGCCTCAGAAGAATGGGTTAGGCGAGTTTTTTAATATTCCTTTGCCTTGAAAGAGAGGAAAATGAAGGTCATAGTGCCTACCACCATGAAAAACACCTTACTTTTTTGAAAACATGTTGTCTTTCCAATGATGGTGACTTCTGTGTATTTTATATCCAGTTGGTTTAAAGGAAACATCTAGGTCTGAGAGGTAATGAGAGATACCTTGTAGCATTTGTTCAGTACATGGAATGTACAGGCTGTTGTGTCAGACGTGGGTGGTCCAGTTATTTTCTCAAATGATAATGACCTCACAGACTTTTTGAGACAACTGTTTCAACCAAAGGAGTAAAAAGGAAAAAATAATATGTACCCAAGGCTTTTCATGATATTTTTAACTTCAAACTCTATTTCTAGAGTAGCTAATGGTCTTCGCAACTGCTGTTTCTCCATTTCTATTTTCTTAGCAGTTTTGGTCGTTTGTGTGTCCTTCTGGGGAACTATTTCCTCTGAATTGATAATTTCATTAATATAAATTTACCAAACATGTAAATCAGCTGATGAGTGCTTGCCTTACAGACAAAAGGCCCTGGGTTTGATTCCTCAGAATTGCACAAAACCAGCCACCAGCTTTTGGAGGTAGAAAGAGAATCAGAAGTTTAAAATCATTCCTGGGGGCCTAAGGAATTCCAGGCCAGCTTGGGTTATATACCTTCTTTCAAAACAATTTAATCATAACAATACATGATTCCCTTTTTATTTTCTATAGTTTATAATAATACCTTATCTTTATTATTTTTGTTTGTTTGTGGTAGGGTTTCTCTGTATAACAGCCCTGGCCATCCTGGAACTCACTCTATAAACCAACTAGGCCTCAAAATCACAGAGATCCTCCACCTCCCTAGTGTTGGGATTAAAGGTGTGTGCCACCATGCCTGGCTCATTCGTGGATTTGATAATTTATGCCTTCTCTGGTCAGTCTAAAAAGTAAAGGTTTGTATTTATTTGTATATGAGGATGTGGGTGTATGTTTGTGTCAGTGTAGGTGCACATGTGTATGTACCTGCATGTGGAGATCACAGCACAAACTCAGGTATGGTTCCTTGGAAGCCACCCCATCTTGGATTTTCCTTGACTTGGAGCTCACTGAGTAGGCACAGTTGACCAGCCAGCAGGTCTCAGGGATCTGCCTGTCTCTGTTTCCCTATACCTGGGATCCTAGGTGTCAAACATCACACTTGGGGAATAAATTCAGATCCTCACCCTAGCAAGGCAAGCACTGCACCCAACTGAGCTTCCCTCAGTCCTGAGGTTGATTCTCCCATTCTGATCTATACTATCTTTCACCTTCCTGATTTGTGTATGACTGTCCCTCCTCCACATTTTAGTTTATGTGTTAGGTGTCTACCTATATGGCTATGCACCATGTATATGCAGTGCCCTCACAGGCCAGAAGAGGGCATCAGATACCCTGGGACAAGTGGTTGCAAGCTGCCATGTTCAGTGCTAATCTAACTCAGGTCCTCTGGAAAAATAGCACATGCTCTTAAAAGGAGTTTAGCTTTTCAGGTTAGAAGCTAAGGCAACTTCCTTCTGTGTTTAAACTAAGTTTCCCTGTAAAAATCATTTTAAGTAGAACCCACAAAAAGTGATAAATGGTGCTATTATGTTCATTTCAAAGCATTCTTAAAACTTCCTTAGTTCTAGGTTGAACAGTGTTGGAACACTTCTTTAATCCCAGCACTTAGGAGTCAGAGGCAGACAGATCTCTCTGAGTTAGAGGCCAGCCTGGTCTATAAAGAGCAAGTCCCAGGTCAGCTAGGGCTATTCAGAGAAACCCTGTCTTGAAAATCTTTCATTTCTTTTTTGACCCTAAATTAATAAAACTGTTGATTTTCAGTGTTTAAGAATTCCCCCAAAAGGGTCTTGTCCCTGCTTCCAGTTGGTATCCCAGACTTTGTTGACTCCCCAAGGAAGACCTTATCCCCTCTGAGGAGTGGATGGGGGGGTGGGATGGAGGAAGGTGAGGAGGTGGGAGGAGAGGGAGAACTGAGGTTGGAATGTAAAATGGGGGGAAATTAAAATTTAAAAAGGTAAATATATATATTATAAAATTTAAAAAAATAATTCCCCCAAATTTCTTTTGTTATTTATTATTTAATTTATTTGTGGTTTGAGACATACTTTATATGATTTCAGCCCTTTGATGTTTATTGAGACTTATGGTTTAGTAGATAGAAATGCCCTCTTTGTCTCTATTCACATTTCTTGCCTTAAAACATACTTTGTCTCTTTTTAATATAACCACTTAAGCCTTTTTATGTTTGTTACTTGTATGGTACATCTTTTTTATTTGTTTGTTTTAGTGTCTTTAACATAATCTCATTTTTAAATTATATCAAGGTCTACGGTGGTGACTCATGCCTTTAATCCCAGCACTCAGGAGACAGAGGCAGGCAGATCTCTGGATTTGAGGACAGCCTGCTCTACATAGTGAATTCTACGACAGCCATGGCTACACAGAGAAAACCCTGTCTCAAACCAAAAAAAAAAAAAAAAAAAAAACTGCTTCTTTATCTAATCTGGGAATGTCATCTTCTTTCTGGTCCATCACCATTGTCATGTAGTTATTAATCTGGGCAGGTGTACCTGCCATTTACCATGTTGCCTGTCTTAACTAGGACTTCTATTACTGTGGTAAAACACCATGGCCAGGAGAAAATTTGGTGAAAGGGGGGTTTATTTTGTCTTAAACTTCCACATTACAGTCCACCTTCAAAGGGGACGCAGGAACTGAAGTAGAATCCATGGAGGAGCTCTGTTTACTGGCTCACTCAGCCTGCCTTCTTGTGGCCCAGGACCACCAGCCCAGGCTAGCACTGCCCACAGTGAGTTGGGCCCTCCCACATCAAGAAAATGCCCCTGATCAACCAGCATAGCTCCATCTGCTTTTCTCACTTTACTATTATTCTGTGTATGTGAGGAGAACACTTTGTTTTCCTACTGAAACTTGTTTCATTTTAAAGTTTAAACCTCAACAAAATCTGAAATTCTGTTTATTTTTCTTCTGTGCTTTTCCTTCTTGTCGTTAAATTTAGTAATTCTGTTTTCAGCTTATTCATTGTTTGTTGAGCCATCTCAGGCCTGCCATTGCTCTCAATCTAGTAAATTTATTTGTTATGTCACTTTTTAATTCTGGAACTGCTATTATTATTTTGCATGTGTCTATATATAGATTTCTTACTTGTCATGATATTTTCCTTTAATTCCTTAGCTATATTTGTATTTGCTACATTGGCATCATGCTCAATGCAGTGTTTGGGCCTGGGTACATTATTGGTTAATGTTCTTTCTTTGTGTTATGTTTTTACTGTTTGTGTTTTTAATCTGGGTCATACTTTCCAACTTTCTGTAAGTAGTAACATCATTATTTGGTTTATGAGAATGTACATATGTGTTCTAAGCAGTCTATCCACACTGGAACCACATTGCCAGAACCTGATGTTTCTGCCTGATAATGTTCCTGTTCTCTCTGTTTCTCCCCCTTTCTCCCTCTCTCCCCTTCTCAGCTACAGTGCACATGCTGTTGAAACACTTGCAGCTTTAGATAATCCAATTCATTCTGTTAGCTGCCTAGCCATTAGGAGATGCATTCCGAATTCAGCCAGCTCATTGTCAAATCTATCTTTGGTTTTCTTTCTGTTATTTCTATTTTCTCTTCCCTTCCTCCTTACATGTGTGGTTTTGCACCCTCCAAGGAAAAGGAGACTTTTCCTGGGATCTCCCTTTTAGCTATATGGCTGATTCATTCCTCATCCCAGTCAGACCACAGCTTCAATCTCAAACTGTGTCCTGTTGGATTCTTACCAATTTGGCACTTGTTGCTAACAGCATTGTGAGGTTTCTTTCTCATTCTCCCTCCACATTTGTAGGAGATGGGGAATGCATTGCTTAGAGATTAAGTAGAGCAGTAAACCTTAGACCTAACAAGAGTGACCCACTCTTGATGCTTCTTAGAGAAAAGATGAAACACGGAATAGGTAAGCTCAAGAGGGAGAAGCTGGTTTTCCCCTGTAGATGTTTTAATTGATCTGGCCCTTGTGTTATCAGCAGTAGGAATTCAAGCCTGCATAGATGGTGGTACAGAGGATTAAGAAAGTCACATTGAAGTTCAGGATTGGAGAGAAGGAATCAAAATGTCTAGATCAAAGGAAGCATGACTTACTATTTGGACAAAGGTCCAAAGCATGTGATGAAGTCCTGTGGGAGAAAAATCATGTGAACATGAATTGGTAAGAGTTTTTGAACAACAGGATGAGAACCAAGGATTTCTTTGAAGTTTTGAAGAAGGAAATGGGAGTAAAATATGCTTCTAGAATATGGTCTA